GGCCTTGAAGCGTATTTCTCCTGGAGCGAGGATTGCATGGCTGCATTTTGTGAGCATAATTGGATATTCTGCCTGTGCTGAAATCGCAATAATAGACCCGATCTCTTGAGTCTGGAAGAAGGCTTACAAGCCTGCTTTCTCACCCTGCCCTATTTTCATAGGCCAAATACCTGCTGTAGGAAAAATACACAAAAGAGACAGCAAAACCCCATACCTTCTGCTTTGGGTGCTGCTAGAAACGTTCCGGTTTCCAGAGGTTTGTTCCATAACCAATAATTAAGTGCAGTCTCAATCCATAAGATGTATAAAGCAAGCAAATTATACAGTAGCATGTCTTACTTGTCTCTCCACAAAAATAATTTTTTGCAGTAAGCAAACACAGCAGGGTTTGGATCCAACCGCTGTTTCAGTCGAAGTATTATTTAGATTCTACATTATTTTCACATCCATGGTGAAATATTTTTAGTTAAGAAAGAAGAGTTATGTAATGAAATGCTTATCCCTGTAAATCCATAGTGCTGGAGCATATGGGATATATTAGACACTTCTGGTCATTGAAGTTATAGATTCTCCTCCTCAATCTGAGGAAAGCGTGCGTGGGGAGACAGTTATCAGCGAAAGTATCTGTCACAGAACAACATCTCTAATACTATGTTAGTAGTTCCAAACATGAAGTGCGAGAAAGGTGATTTCCTTTTCTTCTGTTTCCCTGTCCCAAAATTGCCACCTATTCTGTATCTATTCAAAGGCGGAAGGCATCAGCTGCCTTTGATCTTTAACAGGAAAACTTGGAAGCAAATGACAAGCTATAAAGAACATGTTTAATAGATACTGAATATTTCCCTACATAGGTGCAGCCTGGAGAAGCAGAGGCCAGCAATGAATATGTGATCTAGAAACCCCGCCTTCCTGCAGCGGTGCATAATTTGCATTAATTATGTCTATAGCCATTACATCTGGCACTAGCCTGGGCTTCTCTAAGCAAATGTGAGATGCCATAGTTGTATTAAGAATTTTGCTTTGTTTGTCAGTCAATTGGGCTTTCTGTCTTTGAGCAGAGTACCCTTTTATCAGGTGTTCAATAGCCATTTTTTTCAAGGCTTATTTCACAGCAAAGGTTCTCTGTTTAAAATTTTTAGCATTGCACAGAGAGCATTCTGCAACCTGGAAGTGATTATATGTTTGACGGTATTTAAACGATGTTTGAAATGCTGAGTTTTATTTTGATGTGTAAGATTTGCAAGTTGTGGTTAGTTATACATACCAAAAATAGCTTTTCAAGAATGTTCAGCCAAATGGTTTGCTTTTATACAAGAATATAGACAGAGAGCAAACCAACAAAACTGCAGATTTAGTCAGGGAGTTATTGCTTAAAAATCTTTCAAAATTTTCATATAATTGCAATGTGAGCTGAAGAAGAAATCTTGAAGTGATTTTGCTCTGAAACTCTGTTAGCAGTTCTTTGAAATTCTTCCTTCTCCCCATGGAAAACTGTGAACTCCTGCAAGACAGCTGCCTTGTTACACTGGCAAGTGTCCTGCAACACACTGTCTGCACTAGCCTGCAACGCAGAACTGCCTGGGACTTTCTGTCCTGAGGCAAAACAAGTCTAACAATCATTTACCTGCTTCAGTGTATTTTTTATGGAAAAAAAAAATTATAGGTATGTAAAATGTATCATATAATTAAATATACTATCTATAATAGGTATAGTCTATTCTAGATAAGATATGAAATACACAAAAATATATGGGCAATCGAGCCTACTTTCTGCAGACCTTCTAAAAGGGGAGACTGTTCTGATACACAGAAGCTTCAGGGATCCTCTATTCTTCAGGAATCTAAACATTCTAAACATTTGAGTGACTATTTCCACAGCAGTTCTCAGGCTAAAAGCGACTAAAATGTAACCATTTTTACTACTACCTGGAATAGCAAAATTATTCCCCATCAATTTCATATACTCATGAATATGCATGCACTACTACTTTCTTTGCAAAATGGGAGAAATGTGAGAAAACTAACTTTTGTCTCCAGAATATGTTAAATATTTCACTTACAGGAATCCATGAAGACAGATTTTTTTTCCCCCCCCGGATTCTACTGACAACAGGAGTTGATTCACTGCACTCTCCTCGGAGAAAAGGTGCTTGGCATAGCTGCAAAGTAGGTCTGTCTACTAATAATGCATACATAGATAATGCGTATGTGCATACATACGTACAATAAAGTATCACTGCTTGGAAAAGCTATTGGAGGCATATTCATCATTTTGCTTGGGCCTACCCAACCTAGTGCTGAGAATAGCTGCTGGAGATGTCAGCAAGTGAAAAAGAGAGTCCCACCGAGAATAGCAAAACCACCAGCAGCACCAGCTACCAATTCGTCCTCGTTGCTTATGCATACTAAAGACGACTTGACAATCCTACACGCCGTTGTATCAGCGAGCATCAAAGTAGGTGCAAGCTGATGGTTTGAAGAATATATTCTTATTTCTTCCCATCCGCCAGGTTTCTCCGTGGCTCCCCACCCCCGGGAGACGTTTGCTAGCGAGGGAGAAACTTGGATCGCCGTTGCGGGATTTGAGGAATGGGCTATCGCCAGTCCTGGCAGGAGCTGGCATTGCCTACCTGACCAGCCTACCAACCAGCGGGGACACGCAGTGGGTTTTTAGGGCTGCTGCTGACATTAGGACAGGCAGAAGGGTTTTTACGTAGCGCCGTCAGCGTCAGTGCCGACTGCCTCACTTGTTTAAAAATGAGCCTGCAAAATTTATTAGATGGAGCCATCTGCTTCTCAGCCATTCTCCTACACTACCCCTGACAGTGACTGTCAGGAGAGGAACAATGAATTTACAGCAGTGGGTGAGAATCAATTGCTTTTCTGATTCCTCTTCCAGAGCTACTGGAGCCCTGACAGTGCAACCCGGAGTATCTGGTAACACATCTCTTTTGAACTTTTAGGGTGTAGAGCAAGTATTTGTGGTCACTTTTACTTTGCTCCTTGCAAAAGCCAATGAAGAAGACCCTGCAAAAGAGTTGTGAAGTGTTCGCAATCACTATCGTTAATCAAGCTAAGGAAGGAGGAGCTTCACAGTAACAACCCCGTGGTTTTCTTTTTTTTTTAAAAGGAACCTGTTCAAAGGTCATTTGGATCTTATTGAGATATAGCCGCTGATTTCAATAGGTTTTGAATATGGCTATGGGTGTATGTTCTCTAAATGAGGAGTTTTCATTAACTGATTCCAGTCTGGAGCATGCATTTTTTTGTTAGAAACACATCATCTTCACGGCAAAATTACTTTTGGTTGTGAACGCTTCTTGAGACTATGTTTACTCCATTACTAATGACAACTGAAAGCACTGTGGTTTTTTTCTGATATTTACCTGATGTGAAAATCAGGTGCAAAAACTTACAAAATTTTGTCAAAACAAGAGAAGAAATCACTTCGATTCACTTGTATTGCAAAAGAAATGTATTAGTTATGCTCCTCCCACTCCGGATCTAAATAAGAAACCGTATGTCCCAAACATTGGCTGCTTTTCAAACTATACCGGTTGATCTAACAATAATACTTTTGCCTGCAAACCTCAGATGACAAAAATACGGACTCTGTTGATGTTAATCAGCGATTTAAGGCAGCAGCGTAGCTAATTTGTTTCAGCAACTCTAACGGATGAAAGAAACAGGTGAAAGAAGTTGCTGCCATTTCTAGAAGTTGATTCACGTGTCCTCAGGAGATAGCTGGTTTTACCTGCTGCATATGCTGTGTATGTTCTTGGCAGGGGCTTATGGAGGAAGCCATTCATGAGCAAAGAGAGGCACCAACAGTTGCTCAGCAGAGAGAGGAGCCCTTCATGTATCACTGTGTGGTCAGCTGCTCTTCTCTATTTTAGGATCCCCTGTGAGTGGCAGCTATGCTCATTCCCATTTAAGAAAGCCCAAGCCCAGGTTGACTTGGTGACCCGTCCTGGAGCTGCCAGGCACCGGAGAAGTCAGCGTGCCAACAGGGATGCTTGCAAAGTAGCCCAAAGAACACATTTAGGATAGAGTGGGCCACAAGCCGTGCCCATCTCAGGGCAGAGCACCAGGAGCCACTGCTGTCTTAAAAATTTGCAAGTCCTTTGTCTCTTGCGGATGCCTAAAATCCTCGCATTTTCCTCCCTTCGGTATTTTTGAAGTATTTTGCTGTTACGAATATGCCAGCTCATGAGGGCAGGTGGCAAAAGGCTGTTCCCTGCTCCAGACACCTTAGGTTAGGGTGTCCCACCTCCCCAGGCTGTAACACACAGGGAGTTGGGACTTGGGGCACTCACGCTTCTCCTGGAGAAGCTAGCCCTCTTTTTCATGGCATTGCTAAACACCAAGTGGAAGAGAGAAAGAGATCACGGATGACCCAGGGACAGCGCAGTCACAGCGTTCCTCTGAGGACAGCCCTTCCCCAGGAGCACATCTCAGATCCCACCACCCTGTGCACAAATTCGCCAGCTATAACCGTGGCTGTACAGAGGCAAGTTCATTCTTGTGCTCTTTCTCGCTCTCAATAAACATTGATTTATCCCATGCAAAGGGGAGCGGTCGCGTCCGCCCGGCCGTCGCGGCACATTCCTGGGCAGGAGCTTGAGGTTGCCCTCGAATCGGGCTCTGCTGGTGGGACAGACGGAGGAGCACCCGGCCCGTGATTCTGCTACATCAAATTTGGGGAAAGGGAAAGCTACGGGAACAGCTCAGCTATTGCTTGTGAGTAGTTTGTGGTATCGGGAAGTACAAAGTAGATACAGCGAAACCAAGAAGTATTTGCACATTGTTTGATTAGGTCACCAGAGAAAGTGAGACAGAAACTTAATGTCCTGAGCAACGCAACTGGGTGATGATTATATTCCTAAGCCTAGAAGACACAAATGAGTGATTTATAAAAGAAAGGGGAGAAAAATGTCACGTTATCTGTTGGAATTGCTGCAAGGTCACGAAAAAGATTCGCAGAAATACCCACAACTTACCAAGAAATAACGCCTGCGTCTCATCCCATCCGTAGCAGACGAAAGCTGACATGTGCAGAGCTTCTCATTGAAAGCACTGAGCACATCCTCCTCCTCCTCCTCCTCCTGCCTCACCCGGTGGCGTAGCAAAGCACTTCCAGCTTTCGCTGAAATCAAGAGTTGAGGACATTTAACATCTACCTGAACTGTTTTGCACCTTGCAAAATTAGGTGCTATGAGTTTGGTGTTTTTTCCTACCCAGGCTGTGCAGGGTACCTGCTACTCTTGCATGAGAGCGAGTGCTAGAAAGCAGAGGCAGAAGTACTTTCTGGTATTCTCTGGAGCAGTTCAGCTCTAGCTCCAGCAATCTGTGTTTTCTTTTTATAATGGCACCTCTCCCTGTGGTATCTTAGCACTTGCTAAGAGGTAATCTCGGGGAGTAAATACATGTCCACTCCTCTGAGTTGCCTAGATTGGATTTGTCCTTTAATTCTATGTTCTGGTGGGATTGCTTATGTAACAGATTTTTTTTTTCCCCTCGTTAAACTAAGGTTGCAAGTCCATGGTATGGAGAATTAGGCAAACATTTCATATCATAAAACTACAGCCTGTGGGTGTGATGGGCTTTGGGCCAGCATCTCTGAACAGACAAATGTTTTTTGTCATTTTGGGGAGTTAGGAAATTGGACAGATTGCACAGAGATGAGAAATAGTAAATGTGTTTCATTAAAAATTATTTTCTCAAGCTGGTTTCAACAAAAATATTGAATATTGGAAATGTCGTTACACCTTTTTCAGCATTGCAAATGTAGGCCAGCAGGCCTGTTTTAAAGGAGTAAGCGGGAGGAATAGAAATAAAAGTGAGTAAAAAGCTTGCAACAAATCCCAAATGTGTATTTATTTCTTAGGGAAACAATCAGTTTAACAGACATGTTGATGGAGAGGATGATTTCCTAGAAAAATAACCCACAACACTTTCTCTTCAGAAAAAGGACTTTGCATGCACAGGTTTGAATGGCTGCATGAGGGACATACGCGTGGCATCATTTTGGTGTCTCGTGTTGGGGCGGCTTACCAAGGAGCAGTAAAAACCACCCATGAGCAAGCCGGTGAGCTGCCCTCTCTGATTCTCCCTAGAAATGCCCTGTAGGCTGACTGGAAAGGTTAATACCTGTAGGGCAGAGTCCTCTTTCGGTAGATCTGAGCACCATCTGCAGAGTCTGAATGGGAGCAGCTCCCCGTTCAAAGAGGGACACCCCACCAATCCCTGGCACGATGTTTTCTTCTACTACCTCTATTCTATCTGTTTTCTTTTACCCCGCTCATGAAGGATGAAATGAACGCAAACCAGACAATTCCACTTGCAGAAACACTGCTCTGGCCAACCCTGCAACTACAAAAGTCAAATCTTTGGCTGAGGGCGGTGGGGCTCTCTTTCATCTCCTTGGCGGCTTCGAGACCAACCGTCCCGCTCAGCTGGGACCAGTATGACTAGAGCTGATGGAGCACTTGGCGTAGGGAGCCAGCATCACCTCCCAGAAATAGCCAAGCCAAAGGCGCACACGAGCAGACTTTGAGCGGTGTGAAGCGGGGCCGACACTGCCTTTCAAAGAGGAGAGAGGTGATTAATTAGCTGCCCAGGCAGTGTTGTTTTCCTCTGCAAAGTAATCTCTCTTTTGGAGCTGGGAGACACGCTGCTGACGGTGCTTAATCACTCCTTCGGGACGCCGAGGTACAGGCTCACCGCAGCCCTGGGAGGACAATTAGGGCTCGGGAGGGTAATGCCGGGTTCCTGCGCTGTTGTCCCAGCTCCGGCAGGTTTGCTGTGGGGCTACAAGCTGGTCGCTTGGGTTTTTCTGCCTTCATTTGCCCCCCTGAATGAGTTAAAAGATGGGCTTTGTGGATTAGTTATTTAATAAATTCTATTGTGCTTTGCATATGCAGCACATCATTTAAGCATCCCTATGGCTGTGCACGTTTGTTAAAAGCTCAGGAGTGGTTGTATTACAGCAGGTGAGTGTATTTTGGCAGCCCCAGTTGCACAGATGCATCAGGTTGCGAAGAGAATTTAATGTGATTTCAAATAAACCATCTGAAAACGTTACGAGCTCTCCCATTTGTTTGGATTAGCATAAGCTCTTCCTCCCCTCATCTCATTTCCTGCATGTTTAAACTACAAATACAGCTGAATTTAAATGTAATCCTCATGTCTTTACCAACTCATCTTCACTGACAAAAGCACATCATTAAGAAATAGTAGTGTAAGGGGGGGACTAGCCCCCCGTTTCCGAATGTGATGAAAGCAAACCCATCCAAAACTGTGCTAGTGGTTTAAATTTATCCCCTAAGCACAATAAAATTGGTATCACAGAGCTTGCAGATACAAAAAAATCTGAGTTCAGGTTTAGCAAAGCATTTCGGTAATTTTGGGATGCCTTCCTCAGTTCATAAACACTCATTACATGTAAGCAGACCTGGTGCCTGAAGAAAACGTGTACTTTAATCTATTATTGATTATTTTTACAATCTTCAAAAGCAACCGGAGTGTATCTCAGGGCAGAAGTGGAGAAGCTGAATGTGCAGTGTGTGCCCTGGGGATTTGCCAAAGCCAGTTCCACCTGCAAAGTAGCAAGGGGTTGATCCAAGCCCAGTGCAACTAGGAGAGGAGAGTGGTTATAACCTGATACCCTGATTCAGTAGCAGTGTGCAGTTAGACAGCGTATGTTTGGTTTGGGGCTGGGGTTTTTTTGGGGTTAGTACAAGATGGGCTTCTGCAAGAGCCATTACTTTTAGGCGGAGGGGTGTTCAGGACCTGAAGCAACTCGTCACTGGGAAGTTGAAGAGAGCGCCCTAAAAAATGGTCCAGCTGTGGTTTGCTTTGACCCGGCCAAGGCTGGGACTGTGGGAACTACAGCCAAAGGTACCACCAACCAGACCCGAAAGTGGGTTTCAGAGCAAGTCATTTCAGCGGAGGAAACTAAAAATCACTTTTCAGGAAGACTTCTTACCAGAAGGAAGACATAAATGCCAAAAGTCTTTAGAAAAACTCTTTTTTTCTACAATTTAGATACTCAGATTCCTCTCTGTTATTGCCTGCCCTGCCTTGGAGAAGGTAGTGACCACTGGAAGAGACGGTCACTGGAGGCACAGAAACATGTAGCTTGGTCATCACCAGCTGTCTCAATAAAAGCAGAGAGAACCGAGGCACCAGAGTGGCCTGGTGCAGCTCTTGTGCTGTGGCAAGAGGAAATGTACAGGGAAACCTGCGGCATATATACGTTGTCAGAGATGTCACAGTGGCCGTACTGAGTCAGACTATTTGTCAATTTGGCCCAGTATCGAGCCTCTGACCAGGGTCATAGCGGACACGTAAGGAAGAGTACAAGAACAGGTTAGGCGTGTTTTCCCAGACTATTCTTCCAGCCTTCGAAAATTTGCAGCTCCTGATCCAGAAGGGTTATTCTGGTCTTTAAAAGCCTGCAGTGGATATTTGTGAATTCACCCAGCCGTTTTTGACCCAATGTGAATATTTTACCCCATCTCTGTGAAGAACCATTTCCTTTTGCCAGTTCTGCCCTGGCCACCCTCTGGTGTCACGGGGTCCCGGTGGGACACCAAGCTCACGTGGGACAACCAACAGTCATTCCCTACTCACCTTCCCATGCCGCTTGGTGGACCTCTAGCACATCCATCCTTGGACACGTCCTTTCCTGGGCTGGAGAGTCCTGGTCTCTGGGGCTGCTCCTGGTGTAAAAGCCATTCCACACCTTTGAAGATCCTGGTTATCCGTCTCTGAACGGAGAGGGTGCCCCAGGGACCCTGGCTGGGGTGGACAGTTCTGCCACCACTGCTCCTCCTGGGAGGGAGTTGACCGCAGGAGCAGGTCCTTTTCCTCCAAAATTGGGTAAGCTAAGCTGGGGACGGGGGAAGAGCTCAGGGAGGGAGGTGTGTGAGAGAGAAACCCTTCACCCTGAGATCACTGGCCCCTTCTCCACAAGTTTAATACTTGATGGCATAGCAATGGTCTTTTTTTTTCCCCAGCATATCAGTCCTGTGAGATTAACCTCACCCTTCTCATGTTGGCCAGACTCGCCACCGTGAGCCTTGCTCTTACAAACTGCCCGGCCTTATTGCCATGCCGCACTGCGAGCTTGCAGCTGATTTTCTGGCTTTGCCCCACATCATTCCACCCAGCACTTTTCCAACACTGCTGCTTTCCAAACACCTCCGGCCCCATCAAACAGCTACACGTTTCTTCTTTTCTTCTGGGTGTATTAGCTTGTGTTGTCCAGGTTGGATTTTATTACTATATCCTCCAGATAAGGCTACTGCCTGCATGATAGAGTCTTTGCCTCCTACTATGAGATTAGCTGCAAATTTAATTTGAGGGCTATTCATCCCCTCTTGATACCTACCATTAACAACAATAAAAGTAGAATTCAACAACTGAGATTCCCAGCACCCTTTGGGTGCCTGTCCTTATTTCAGTATGCGGTTGTTGATCATTCGGTTTTATCTATTTACAGTCCTTCAAGTAGTGTTCGGTATACAGAGCAACTCTCTGACACGCTATTAATCACCTTCTTTGAAATGACTGTAGAAAAGATATTGGGCTGCGAGCCAGTACTTTTGGGATCATGTTAACGGTTTGCTGTCGTATTTCAATCACTTGCGCTGTGCAAAATAACCCAAGATGTCCCTCCCTCAGGGTATTAAGTAAAGATTGCAGCCCCTGTGATAAGGGAAGATTCTGACAAACATTAATCTGCAGGGAGGAGTTTGGTGGGAAATAAAGGGCAAGAGCATCGCCAAACGGCCTTTTCTTGCGCAGGGGGTGCTTTACATAGGCGCACGCACATTTTGGGAGGAACCCTGTTTCCCCATCATTCTCTCATTGCCACGAATATCGGGGTGCGTTCGGGTGATTTTCAGCATCCAGAGCTTTCAGTTTCTGCAGATTTAGAAAATCCTTAATTAAACAACAGAAGGCATATTATCCTGTCTCCTTTCATCAGCTTGGTATCCATCAACTACAGCTGGCACAAACCAATTATCCCTGTGGCAACCACAGCTTTTGACAGCTCTTGACACAGACCGCTTCCAACTTGTAGGCACCCCATGCTATTTTTGTGCTTTTGCGGATGATCGGAGGCTGTGCCGTGCACCTCCTTTTACTTCGGGGAAGAGCTGCTGGACTTGCGCAGCGACGGCAGTCGGGAGAGGGCTTTCGGTGCAGCGTCAGAGAAGTTGGCTGTCCTCCTACTCGGGAAGCGGGACGTTTCCATCAGGTTGAAGTTGATGCTCCAACGTTCTTGGAGGAGCAGTGGTGGCCGAATCGTCCACCCCAGCGCTGCCAGGGTCCGTGATACGTACCCTGAGATAAGCCTGTGCGATGGCACAGCCTTCCCGACGTACGGTAGGAGTACGATGTCCGTCCCACCACGCGGGCTCTGGGAGACGGGATATCATCTCAGGCCGCCTACGAATCTGTGATCGCCTGTAGGCTGTGGAGCAGTACGCAAGGCAACAGAAACCTGTTGCAATGTTTGAGAGGAAGGGAAAAAAAAAAAAAACCATACCGGGAGGTCTTTCAAGGCATCAAAGTCAGTTCACAGCTAATTAGAGGGCAGGAGGCTTCTCCTGGGTTAGTGACCAGACTGGCTCTGCTTCATGGCTGCTCTACAGCTGACAACAAGATGTAGGTGACCAGGAGCTCAGGCTTTGGGCTGAGCACCTCCACCCCACTTGACGGCAAAGCCTGGCAGTCGTTTCCCACGCAGAGATGGTCTCCCGGCTCAAAGGGAGATTTAGCCTTTTTTCTTAGTTTGATCCACTTATACTTCTCCAAGAGCCCGAGCCAAAAGCTATCGAGTTAAATGGGCTTTGCTTTGGGTTTCCAGTTTGTTGGAATGAGGCACAGATGAAATGGTCCAAATGTCCTCATTTGTAAAAATATTAGTTATTTTCCCTCTGTGCTTAATTCTGTGATCTAACAAAAATATGAAGCAGGTAGTAGGGCATAGTCACTATCTTAAGGACAAAAAAATTGTATTGTTCTTCGCAACACCTCCCCACAGATTTTTAGTCCAAATCTCCTCTCGTGGAAATCGATGAGCATTTCAGAAGTGAGATCAAGGAGGATCCAGAGCAGAGTCCCTCAACGCTTTTTGTTTACCTCAATAAGCTACAGCTCTGGGCTGCAAACCTGGATTTAGCTTTGCATATTTTTTTCCCTTCTTTTAACGGAAACCTTTGTCGGCATCTTTTCTGGATAAATCTGCAATATACAGGCTTTTAAAGAATCAATATAGAGATTGTCAAAGAGTCAAGAGTCTGATTTCCCACACACACAAAGGTTGGGGTTTTTTTTATGGAATGAGAAGCAGAATACCAAGTACGAGCCTGAGGAGTAGGAGAACAATTTCATTACCAAATGCAGAACATTCTCAAATTCCTGGAGTTTACATTTAAAAGGAACTAAGAACTTGAGGTTGATATTTTGCGTTTGGGGGTGTTTTCTGAAAAGAACTTTTAGGGAAAATTTTCTCCAAGTGCCTCCTCATGTACTTAACTGGATTGACTTTTAAAAAATTGTCTCTTCAGTTAAAAGGTAACATTTTGTAAAATTCCGTATTAAAATTGTATCGATTTTTGTGAGGTCTGAAGACACCATTAGACATTTGGGTACCTCTTTAACACACTGGTAATTTAGGCTCTATAATTTTAGCCACTGGAGGGCTCCCCAATTTTTTAATTAATTTAATAGGATATACAGTATGAAAGAATGGAGGGAGGAGATAAAGCAGGGTGGTCCTAGCCACTACCACAGTCTCTACAAATACTGAATTTCATGCAAACTCCAGGTATTCTTCTGTGTATTCCTCAGCCGAAATACTGAAAGAAAATAATTTCAGTATTTCTAGTAGAATAAATATTCCATTATGAACTGGCCAGCCAGCAAGACTGGATGTAACTGACTAGCTAGATAGGCATAAAAATACAAGAAAATTAAAGTTTCAGGACTTGATAGTGTCACACAATCAGGCAAATTCCCCACAAGTTTTACTTTAATATATCAGTCGTTTACTTTAATATATCAGTTTTTTGTGTGGATGATTTACATCACCATTGCAGCCCCCCATACTCCCAGCCTGCCAACACACCCCTATGCTGCTGTTTGACTGATTTGCTCGTCAGAGGCAGCTGGCCAGAGAAATTGTCTTTTTTTTTTTTTTTAAATAATTATCTACATTTTCTATACTGAAGATGGTTGCTCATGGCTGGATCAGGTTGCAGCACAGAACAGAGTCTGCTCCTGCATCCTGCTCTGGCTGCTGCACTCTGAGCACTGAGCTAGCCATCTTCCAAGATCCCATTCTTCGCTCAAGGAATTGCTTTCCTTTAAATGGAAAAAAGAAAGGGGAGCAAAGAGAAGAGAGGAGGCATCCCAAGCTGAAATCGTATTAAGAGTGCCTGGTGAACCATGAACATCCTGCTTTTCCAGAAGTGGGGACATCCCAGACTGTGCAGGGCACAGACTCCTGCAGTCACGTATACAGCATCTGGTTGGTTGGAATATGGGTGACTATAGAGGCAGCACCACCACCCTGTTTCACCCCTCTGGATGCATAGTTCATCCAAGAAACTAACCGAACATTTGGCTCCAGCTTCACAGCCTCAAGCCACAGAAAAAAAGCAGAATCTCCACAAAAAGTGGTGCTTACCATACCTGCTGTGGTCAAGGCACTTGCTGGTTGCCCTACCGTATCCATGCGCGATTTTGTCAGAAACCTGGTGGTCCTTACAGAAGGAGACGCCGACGACCCTTTGGAATGAAACATTTGCTGGTGAATACAGGAGGACAAATCGTGGGCATGCTTGTCCCACTGGCAACCATTTTGTCAGAGCTGGGCTTGAACTACTTTTGTACATAGCGTTGCAAACCTCTCCATCCTACCGACCTGCACAGCTGCCTCGCCAGCACCATCCTGATCAGGCACAGGCCCATCAGTCTGGTACGGTTAGGATGATGCAGCTACGCAGAGGTTGGTACGTACTGCAGAAAGCAACGTGAATGGGGAAAAAGCTGAATTGTGTGGCTCAGACTTGCAAATCAAGGCACAGAGAATGCAAACGCCCATCAATGTGGATGTTTTCAGTGCATCCTTAGGAAAGAAGAAATGAGTGGCATCAATGTTTCCCTCAACTCTTGTCTTTCCTACTACCTTTGTGCAAGGTCACCAGTATCTCACCACGGTGAGCCATAGTTGTAGAGTCCTTAGCAGAGAGGCATGTTTGCTGCTAATAAAATATTAACCCAGATGAAGGGCTGGTAAAATATTTAAATATCAGACATTCCTCTACTCTTCAGCTTCCCACTTGGCACAAATCACTGCCATGCTTTGGAATCTGATCAAACATGTTTCACAGGTACAAAGAGGCTAATTTATAAAGAAGGATTAATCCCTCTACAAGACCAGGCTGGTTGGAATTTCTCTTTCCCCTTTTCATGCTGCAAGGCTCTCAAACTTTTTTCCACACAGTGCTTTTGTGGCGAATTTTTTCACCAACTTGACTTACAGCCTTTTGAGGCCACATGTTTTAATTCAGAGACCTGGCAGCTGAAAATTCCTATTTATCCACAAGGCAAGTACTATTTTGCCCTTGGCACTATGAACATCTTTGCAGTAAC